TCAAAGACAGGTAACGACTCTCACCGATACTGGGCTGCAACGACTCAGTCATTAAGGGACATTGTTGGCCTTCAAAGGACTGAAACACCACCGAGGGGGATAAATATCTCTGGCTCAACACCAGTCAGTCAGAACTGATGAAGCCTCTTGGATGAGAGGTGAAACGTCTTCGATCTAGAAATCTAAGTCCAGTTGATTTTTTCTAAGGTTTTTTCAAAATCAAATGAAAATTTTTATTCTTTTATTTTTTTTATTTTTTCTACTGCTCAGTAAATGCTTTGGCATACAAACATAAAAGCTTATTCTAATTTGTGAAAAGAGAGAGAGTGAAAGAGCAAGGTGAAAAAGGAGAGAAAATGAGCAGAGAGAGAGAGAGAGAGAGAGTGCGCAAGCGCAGTGGGAGCAGGGACAAAGAGAGAGAGAGCTGGAAAATGGGATCAAGGGAGCGAGAGTGAAGTGTAGAGAGACAGACACAGACTGAGTGGGACACAGGGTTGGGGTTCACTTGACCTTAAGGACAGAGGGTAGCTCCTCTTCTAGCCACGCACGCAAATACAACCACACACACACACACACACACACACACACACACACACAGTGCTAGCAGGCAGAGGCAGTGAGCAAGCCAGCAGAGAGCCTGCCAACCAGCAGCCATGACAGACACCGGTGAGTAGCTACATATCTAACATCCTCTAGTGTGTGTGTGTGTGTATGTTGTTTCATATGAGTGATGATGTATACTACCAGCTGTGGTATTATGATCTGGCATCATACGCTAGGGAATGTTAATGTGTGTTTGAATGTGTGTAGGGCATTAGATAGATAGATAGATAGACAGATAGACAGACAGATAGATAGATAGACAGACAGACAGATAGATAGATAGATAGACAGACAGACAGACAGATCGATGCCTTCATAGTGGGTATCTTGAGAGACAAATCATTGTCTACAGTCTCTGACACAATGTCTGTTAAATTTATATTTCTAAATAGGAAAGCAGGGGATTCTTTCTCTCTTTTTTTGCGCTGCTTAAAAATTAATATATTCTCAGCTTTTCTGGTGCAAGGCATAGAGTTGCACCACTCCACAGTGCCACACTCAGACCAGAAAATCCCTGGAACACCAGGCTGTGTCACTGGTCAGTGAGAGCACTATTTAGCTCAAGAGGAGAAGGGCAGAAGCTATGCAGTGGCCAGTGGCTGTTACGCTTTACAAGCTGACTATACACCACCACCACCCAACACCTCAGCCTCATGTGAAGCTACTGCTGCTGCTGTGAGGCACGAACACCATAGGCAGCATCATCAAAGTATTTCTTATACTGTAAATGGTCACATGTGTATCAATACCTCTGTGACAGTCTAAACACTCCTAAACATTAGAAGCTTCAAAGTGGTGGGATTTATTGCTGGGCTGTCTTGGTTTAGATTATGTAAATGTCCCTGATGTTAATGTAAGTACATATGCATGTTTGTTTGTACTGTATATGTGGGCACATGCAGTGCAGCTGAAACAGCTGTAATAAGCACCCCGGGGACTCCCTCTCCCCTATGTCAGACTGACTGGGAAATTACTAGTCTACCCTCCTGTCAAACACATGGACATCTGCACATGCACTCCCTCCCTCTGACCTAGCCGGCTGTCAGACAGACTGCTAGCCCCCTCAGGCTATTTTCATTCGACTTAGAAGAGATTAGCTAAGGTGATTACCTTCTGCAGGCTGCTCCTCACTGTGTTTTAGTGTCTTTGTTTGTTTGTATGTAATAAATTGTATTATATGTGTAGGTAAGTAGCTCCTAAAGCTTGTTTCTGAGCTTTCCTGCATGAGAGCAGTGAAAGAAATATTCAAGATGTCTCAGGTTGAATCACACTAACTGGGCAAAAGTCATTACGATAAATTTATTCAACCATCTCAAAGTAAGTGTTGCAACTAGGTGTAAGGACTGCTCGAACACAACAGTGAGCGAGTCACAAAAATAGACGGACCCAGGTGGCTGACTTCGGTGCAGACAGTGTAGTTTATTTACAGTGATGTACAAGTGACAAGAAATGAACAGTTGAATAATACAGGGACCGGGTGTCGAGCATAGGAGTGTACACAGTCAATGATGGAGATGATGCAAAAAGGACCGGGCTGCGGACATTGGGATTCACTCCTGGACTGGTCGGGTTAGGTGCAACTGCAGATAAACAGAAATAGTACATA